CCTAATTAAATAAAAACCTTATTTGGTTTCATATTAAAATTACATAAAATTAATTATACAGTGAATTATATGGCAACATCAATTACAATCATCAATTGATTATGATCTAGCCTCGACTAGAATCAGTATTGAAAACATTGAAAAATGTATATCTGAACAGTCAAAATATGCAACTGAACCAACTATACTTCTTCAGTTATTACTGTTATTAACACCAATGATATCTACCATAAAAATTATGGAGATGAATAGACTTATAATACATAAACAATGTTAGTAAAGAATTTGAAAAGTAATGTAGAAATTTCTTAGTTGATGCAGTAAAAATGTATAAAAAATGTATATGCTTTGCTTACCTACATTTTATTAAGTCAAATTAAAAGAAATTTTTTCTTATTAAAGCATAAGATGTCATATATTTGCACGACAGCATCAAAAAGGTTGTCTGTTTAAATATGTTGTATCTGTGTATATAAACTGAATGGATATTATTCGATACGAAACCTAGGTATGCAAAAGATATCTAACGGAGAACAACTACTCTACGAACTACATACCCCGATTAGTATTGAATTATACCAGCCATAAATATTATTAATTAAAAAACATATACCTGATATATTGAAAACGTTAAATATATTATAATATGTACTATAAATTATAAAAAATATATTTTCTTTTAAAGTGAAATGAACGTTTTTTGAATATAAAATTTGAATGACTTGTAGTATTTTTAAAATATGTAAATATTCCCAAAATTCAACCATGCTAGCTAATTCTTGGATGCCAGATAATGTCAGTCACTTAGTTTGATTTTATTATTATATAGATTTCTAACTTTATTTTTTTTATGTTCACTATTTTAAAAAATTATTCTGAACTTTGAATTGGATTCTAAATTTATTAATTTCAATGACAGCTAAATTTTTTTTAATTTTGATTTTGTTTACTAAAATTGTTTATAGTCTTATTCAGAAATTTAATTTAGCATGATGACAAATTCTTTAATCTCAGTAGTCGGTTCTATAATGATTATGTAATTTCTATTTGAATTTTAGATATTGTTAATTTTTAGAAAACAAAATAGTATGAAAAGAATCTCTTTTTTTTTTAATTTACAATTTCTTTTACCTAATTACAACTTCTATTGTCTATGTCCACCTGGTCAACTCTCGTTCCGCAATCCTTTTCTGTTCCTCTTGTTTTAACAGCTAACTATCTCCTCTTTCCAATGTCCAATGTCCAATGTCTGCTGCCAACACCTCACTACTCCTTGATTCACTATGGTATTGGTCTTGCTATTCTGCGTATTGATTCTCCTTCCTTTTTTTTTCTGTTTTCTACGATAATCAAAATGATATTACTAACCTTTACTATATGAATTTTTTGTTTATTTGAAGTTTATTTTCCCTTATTTTGTACTTTCACTTTCTTGGTCCTTCTATAAATACTGTGGTTTCATTTACTATGGTTTCTCTTACTACAAGCCTTTGACATCTAATATGAACTAACTTCATATCCTCAAAATTTATCTTCTAATCTAAAGTTAATTTAAGTTTCTTTTCTTCTTCTGACTTTTTCAATATCTCGATTCAAATTCTCTTCTCCTTTTCTTTTTCTATATTTTTTCTTTGGTTCTTCTTCAACAATTACTTATGTATTCTTTATTTCATACAAATTTTTTAAACCTCATACATTTTTTTTAATTATTATTATTCTAACTCTCGTCTCCTAGTTACTCGACACTTTTTTAACCTAACTATAGTTTCCAACTTGCACGAATCAGATTTCTTTTTACTGCATACATTTTCAATTTTACCTTTTCCAATACCATTTGTTTTCTCTTGCTATATTTTACTATTTAATCTCTATACTTTATTAATTTAAACGGATATTCTCTCTAAATTGATATTTTCTTATAAACTCATTTTATTATTAACTGTCACTAAAATTAAAATTATTATCCTGTCACCATTTATCCCAGTATGTTTTTACTTAATGTATTTCTCATTTATTTTCAATTTCTACTTAATAATAAAACTTTTAATTAAATCCAACCTGTTACCATATCATTCAAAGAAATATATTTTTTTGTGGTTGCAATATCTTGTTTGGCAAAAACCAACACGCCAAAATAGCCGCTGCAGATAAGATATTAACCACTTCTGCATTTTATTTTAGGGTTATTTTTTCACGTGGCCGCTTTGTAAATTGAAGTATATAATAAATATTAACAGAACAGAATTATATGCAAAATACAAAATTGAAATTTTGAAACGACAATATGATTAGATTAATATGCATTGTTTTTGAATAACATTTGCACTTTTTGTAAATTTCTTTTTTAAATATTATGTTTTTTGTTATTAAGTATTGTGTTTTTATTTTGTTTTAAAGGTATTTCAATACATTCGAAAATTTTTCTAAAAATCTTGTTAAATGAAACTGTTAAATGAAACTGATAATAAAAATATATATTTTTAAAGATAAATTGAATAGAGTCATACGAATACCGCTAATCACTTATTTTCTAGTCTCTAGTGTCATTTACTTTGCCTGTAGTCAATTAGTATTCAACACACTTAACTTTTCTAATTACTGCACTACCTCACGCATTTGATTAGATTTGACGCGGAGCTTGGTACAACACATATCGTTACGATCTCGGTTCCATCATGATACACCAACTTCATGCAAATTACCGCCTTAAATGTCACAAGTCATTTTAGAAATAGGTAGCTGTACAGCTTGGGTTTCGTTAAGTAGCAGTCAACTTGATGGGATCCAGGATATAGGCAGTAAATATGTTCAGAGAACTTTCAATTTATTTTTAAAAAATGTATTAGATGAATCTATGAAATTTGAATTAATCAATTTAATTTTTTTACAAGCTGAAAATACTGACTTCATTCAATAGGATATTTTGATTTTTTTATAAATTCCTTACCTATACCTTCAAAAAGAAATAAAAGTACGAGAACTATTAATAAAAAGTATATTTAAGAAAACCGTATGTTCCTTAAATTAACCAAACTTTATCTGAAAGAACGTTCTATTCAAATATATAATAAAAAACAGGATGTTTCATTCAAAATATGTGCATTTATAACCAATAATAATAATACATGGTTGTAGCACTGAATAAAAACCTGTTTTTTCATTAAAATGGTGCATTTTGTGGATCAACAAAACGACAATTTTCTAAAATAAAGATAGAGTTAATTTTCTTCACAGTATAAGTATAAAATTTCTACACTGCCTATTTTCTTCATTAAGTTTTACGGTTTTTTAATCTCGTAAAAAACACATTCATTTTTCTGGAGATTCTACTTGCAATTTTATAAATAAATGGGGAAACCAGTTTTTCTAGGAAGTTTTACAAAACGATGATAAAAATATATTTTCACAGAAATAACAGAAAACCCTAACGATGAAATCAAGTTCCGAGACTACACCACGACATATTTAAATTTGCAACTTGCTTAATCATGGTGGAATTTTTAGATTTTGAGATTATATCTATTCCTGGATATATGCATTTTTTGCATGTTCTAAAAAAATATTTGAATGTAATCAATTCTTATACAAATAGTTACGCTGAAACAGTTTTTAATAATTTAGCTGAAGACAAAGAACAAACAGACTTTCAGATTCCTATCGATTAATGTTTGTTCCGTGTTAATTTAATCAAATTTCCTGTGTATCAACATGCAGTTAAAACATATTGTTGAAGTGGTTAAGACATAATCATATTTGATTTTGTTTACTCACTAATCGAAACTGGTATTCTATCTACTGCATATTAATTTAATCGATGGCACTATTTTATAGACCATATTTTGAATAAAATTGAGCATTTTTATGCCCATAATTATTAATAGTTTTCTTATTGTGATATAAATATATTTAGGTATTTAAAAGAAATTTCACCATGCAACTAAAAGAACAACATTTCATTATATTTACAGATAAATGATAGTGTAGGTATTATATTCACTACAACAACTAAAGGAAAGATTAAAGCCTTTCTGGCATTACCTCCTACAATGTACTTCCTTTAATTTAAAAAATGGTCAACATTAATATCAGTCATTATAGTTTTTAACGTAATATTTATTATTATGGAAAAAAGTTTTTCAAACACAGTGCAAAGATATTAGTTTTGGCTATTAACTTTTTTGTTGCTTATTAAATTTGTATAATTTTTGGGTAAAAGCTATGTATTCAATTCAACGAAAGACACGTTGGAGACCCGAAAGCAAGGCACCCTCGGCATTCTTTTCCAAAAAAATATATAGCCTACTTTTTAATTTCTAAGATTTTCGTACATTTTTAAGTGAAAAAAGTATACCTACATGTTTGTTACCGATTCATCGAATCGGGTTCGAGATAAACGCGTTTAAGGATAAAGATGCCATACTATTTCCCGCATATCTTAAATTTGGAAAATGGTATAATATTTGTTTTTGTGTTTTTTTACGATTAAATATGTCGAAAATAGTAGTAGTAGTATCTTCATCGTTAAATGCGTTTATCTCAAAAACGGTTCGTTGTACGCATATCAAACAAGTAAACATTTTTTACTTAAAAATATACGACAATATATTAAAATGATGATGAAATAAAAAAATAGGTCATTTAATTTTTCGGGCGGCCCAAGACGCTTTGTTTTCGGGTCTCTAAAATAGTTATAAGTAAATTGAATACGTTAGTAGAAATAGCTATTTTCACAAAAAATAATACAAATATTTGCAACTTCAAGCGCGAATAACTTTACATGGTGAGCTCGAATAAAAAATATTAGGTACCTATATAAATTTGCAAGTCGTAGCCAAATTCGAGAGACTACCTACTATTTCCTAAACACCCAATATAAAAGAATTTAATTGGAGAAGAATTATTTTAACTTGTTTTGTACAAATTTATTTTGTTTATATATTAATCTAGTTTATAGTTGATGTTATGGCATTACACAGCATTATTTCTGTTTTTTTTTTCAGCGAGTTCCACCGCTTAAGATAGATGATTTGATCGAAGACTTGAAAGATGGAACTAGACTACTAGCTCTACTGGAAGTGCTGTCTGGTGAAAAACTGGTAAGTAACAAAATGCTGTTGTTAACAGTTCTTCTGCGAATACATAAATTTAATTTTATATTTCTATTCTCTAGTGAAATGCATTTTTCTCCAATGCCTGTAACTTTAAATTTTAGTAAAAATAAAGAAGAACAAATTTCTATTCTCGGAAACCTGCCTTTTTGAGTACATCACGTGAAAGGTTATATATTTAACTGTCTTTTATAGACCACTTTTTTTCAGTATTTTATGATCCTTGTCAGACTATCCAGTTTTCGTCACATTTACTTCATCAAAATATACAAAATAGTACAAACGTCATTTTGACGTCACGATGAGTTGCAGGAAATCGTCAAACTAACCCATCTACTAACCAACATTTTTTATGGTTTTCTGTTTTCTAATTAAGTGAATACTACTATAGATGGGAAATAATACATTTGAAAAAATTAACTTACAACTTTTGGGTCCATTTTTAAGGTAACTTTTATTAATTACCTATTTTACTAATCTGACCAAATCAATTTGACCAAAATAGTTGACGTTATGAAACTTTGTCATCATCAAATTAATTTGATTACACAGAAATTTGATAGTCTGACACTTGTCTAAAGTTCTGACAAATTAAATCAGTTTTTTACTAAAATTTTTGGTCGCCATCAGAGAATTTCGACTTCTGTAGGTACATCAAAATTGTGGCATCGTGACACTCAACACCACATGTTAATTTTTTATTTTAACTTGAATTTCAAGTTGTTGAACAACTACCGGGTAGGTTGCCACGTCATCAGTTTGGGTTACTTGACGTTTCGAGAAATATATCACTCTTGTTTTCAGAAGAAATTCTGAAAATAAAGATCAAATCCAGTAAATCGTGTTTACATTTGCTCTGTGTCTATTGTGTTTCGGTGCATGATTTGAAATCACTGGTATATCACGTTGCTTTTCTGTAGAATCTTAGTAAAAATCTCTCTCTCACCCGGATTCTGGTGTTACCCAGATCAACTAAGTATCCTGTATCTGTCCCGTGCTCTGCAACAGCTGATTCGTCTACATTGCTTTAAGCGACACTTGCGTTTTTTTGCCTCGTACTATTCCTTCCTGTTTGTCCAACGTATACTTTGCCGCTTCTACCCAGAATTGGACTACATCGTTTTTGCAGGCCGTTTTCGGTAAAATTTTTCTCATCTTCCTTGTGAAGTTGTAGATGGTACTAATTTTGTGATTTCTTAAGAGAAATCCTATTTTGTCAGTATATCCTTATATACAATAAATAGATTATTGATAATACATTCCATATTTCCTTTGTTCTTAAATATATTTGTAATAGCTGGTTCAATATTTTTGCGCATATCCATTTTCTGTAGATGATCGTAGGTCCGTTGACCAAATGTCCTGCTCGCAGATGTTGCGTGGTCGATACACCAGTGTGTAATAGATACTTTACTCTTGGTCTGGTTGATAAAGAAACTGAACTGTTAAATGTTTTTCCTTATATACTACTTTCGTGTAAACGTTGTGCCCTAGCATGCCATCCAGATTCCTCTTAACAAAGGCATCTTGGAACAGAAGGTTATTGTGATCGTCCAACTCCATCTGGTGAAGTTGATGTGAGGATATGTTTCATTAGTGTGGGCAGAAATCCTTCTGTGGTGCTATATTGTGCACTTCTTCTAAACAAATTAAATATATTCGGATTTATTTCTCATATACACAATTTTTTTAAATCGTATCTTTGCGAAGGAAATTTCTTATGTACTTTGGACACGAATCAATAATTCTGGTTATCAACAGGGTTCGAATCTGGAGCCTACTTTTTTATTATTGTTATTATTATTTTATTACCTTTATTACTATGGCATCGAATAAATTACGACATATTATGTAATAATAATAACTTGTCTTTAAATGCAAAAAGGTGTAAAATAGTTACATACAATTGCAATTGTAATACAGTCGTCTTAATTTAACTATAGAAACAGTGGAACGTTATGATATCATAAGAAGTAATATTTGATTGTAAGCCAAACTTCTCAAATCATATAAGTATACCACAGATGCATCCTTGAAGATACTTGGCTTTGATATTAGAAATTGTCACATTTTTTCATGAAGTAGCTTTAAATACCTTTTATTGCCCTTAAACTTGAATTCTATTCTCTTTTGTCTGGTATCAACTGTATGGCAATCATAAACACGCTATAGAAAGTGTGCAGTGAAGATTGTTCGAATTTTTATGTTTGAAAATTTATAACTTTTATCCAAAGAGAGGATGTGATCATTCATAAGTAGGTACTCAACTGATTTAATTTTACATCTCTGGAGTTACGCCTTATTATAAATGGTTTAAAAATCGTTATTAGTTAATTTCACAATAATCTAGATTGTCTATTAGTATTGAACAATTCCTGTTTCTAGAATTAGTTACAGAAAAAATATTACATTTTATCGTCGAGTGAGTAAAACTAAGAATTTACTTTTAAAATCCATATGTTATGTGCAAACATTTCAATTTGATGTGCAACACTAACTTGTTAGTGCTCTTTGAAAAGACATCAATTGTGCCCATATTAAATTCGACAAGTACAGCTATTTCTATTTTCTTTTCTTTGCATTTCTTCAACTTTGGCAGTTTCTCTTTTGTTTGTGTCTTTATTTATATTTATCCTGCAATAGCTTTATAATCTGTTGGGCAATAAACATTGCTGACACTTCTGATTCCATCTTGAAGGTTTCCATGTAGATATAACTAATCCCTAAAACACCTAATTCGAATTTCAAGCAACTAAAGTAATTATCTTCTACCGTTTTCGAGTCAAAAATATTTTTCCAAATAACAGTATTTTTTAGTTTCATTTTTACTTTTTCTTCAATTTTAGCTTTGAATTTGATAATATATTGATTTAAAAACCAGGTTCATGACTAAAAATATGAGTTAAATGTTTTATTTCTTTTTTGCAGCCTGTGGAGAGAGGCAGAGTTTTGAGAAGACCCCACTTCCTAAGCAACGCCAACACGGCCTTGCAATTTTTAACTGGAAAAAGAATCAAACTAGTCAACATAAACGCTAGCGATTTGGTGGATGGGAGACCACCGGTCGTTCTAGGACTTATTTGGACAATTATTTTGTACTTCCAGGTATGAGCAAAAATGTTTTCATTGTGTAGAAATTTTTATACATATTTCTAATAATTTAAATTAATTATTTAATTTTAAAAGTTATATTTGACTTCGCACTGTTAAGAAATATCTTTTAACATAATTTTCGTGTGGCGTTAGTGAATTATTACGTAATTTTTAATAAACTTTCGCCTGATTGATCATTTTGTTAGTACTATTACTAAGTACTAATCTTCTCGGTGATTTTCGAGCTTGAAACAAATATATTGTGAATCAATATACATATATAAAAAAGTAGAAACATACTCAATTTAATAAGCTTAACCGTTTTTCTTTCAATGTCTACAAAATGAGTAAATAATATAAGCCAGTGTTCATGTTCCAACAATAAAAAAAATAAAATTCGACCATAATAAAACTATTGTTATTAATATACAGGGTGTAACAAGTTTGAGTACTTCAGCATGAGATAGAGTAATCATAAATGAACAAAAAAGTTGTAAGGGTCGTAAGATTAACAGTTTTTTCAATATAGTGTGTTTTGGGGTTTTCTCTCACCGTGTGACCAGCGCTTTTCCGCGCGCTCTACAGCTGTTGTGTATCCCGTGTGTGCGCGGGGGAGTTTTCCTATGGAAAAAATGTAAACAACTATTATTGTGAAACATTTAGTAAATTTCAAGACAATTGTTTTCCAGTTTTTAAATAAATAACAGAAAATGTATCGATTTTGTAGTACGAAGATAGTGTTGTTTACCTCGAATTTTAGTAATTATGAGTCTCTTAAAACAGTAACTTAACTTTTAATTAAATTGTGTATTTGAAAAATATGTAATTAAAGTACCCAAAGATTCACATCATCCAAATAATCATACGTATTAAAAATAATTTAGGTACTTAAAATTCAGTAATTTTTAATTGCATAAGTACAAAACAAACTACAACATATGCTCAAAATGTCCAGCACCATTTTCGATGCACGCACGACACCTTCGAATGCAATTTTCGCGCACTCGCTGGAAAACGCCTCAAAAAAAGGAAATAATAGTACGCAAAAGACACTCAGACACGGTCCAATTCCAGATACCAACTGAATTGCGTAATGCTGGACAGCTTAGTACCTCGTGTTATCCGCACGCCGTTGTCACATTTTATCGAATTTTAAATTTATTACTACTCTAATTATTTTTTAGAATTAAGCATAAAGTTCAAAGAAATGATAAACATTTATTTTATGGTATTCTATGCACGCAGTTATGTCAATATTCCTTAATTAATCGAACTTTTGTACATCAAGTTGGAGATTTTGCTGATTTTTTTCTCGGAAATGGTTGAGTTTAGGACCCATGTCATATAAGGTTTTTTTGTTTATTTTAATGTATTCTATCCTCAGTTAAAATTAAGGCAGTCAAACTTCTAACACCTTGTATAGATTAGCATTAAATTTTTATCTTGCATTTTAATAGTTCTTTTCAATTTGAGATAAATATCTCATATCAAATGCTTTATCAAAGCTGTAATATTCTGTCTAGTTTTTATTATAATTTACTCATACAGGGAGTCCCGAAATTCGTGCAACAAAATTTGGTCATAGATTCTTACAACAAATTTAGGGGACCTGTATTTTTTCTTTCGGAGTTACAGCCCCCTAAAATCTGCCCCTAAGAAATCTTTTTTATTTCTTAAAACCATGTTGTACGAGAATCACTAAATTTGGTACACAGGGGTTGACATGACATGTGGAATCTCACAGTGCTACGCCTTCTGGGGAGAAACCCCCTTAAGGCACTTTTTTGTGGACCCCCTTGTCTTTGGAACCAGAAAAATTTGGTCGCAAATTTATTTTTTTTTCTAAATTATTAGTTAGATAAATTATTAGTTAGCTAGAAAGCCATTGAATTTAGAAATTTTTTTATCTCTTGATATTTGTTTCGAAAAACGCAATGTTTTTGAGGAAAATGGCGAATCACGATCACATCGATTTGATCACATTTTAACATTTTTCTCGAAAACATTGCGTTTTACGAAAAAAGTATAAAGGGACAAAAAGTTTATAAATTTAATGGCTTTCTAGTGGACTGATAATTCTTAAGAAATTTAAATATGCGACCAAATTTTTTTTGCTCCGAAGACAAGGGGGCTCACGAAAAATTGTCTTAAGGGGGTTCCTCGCCAAAAAACGTAGCACCATCAGATTCCATATGTCATAAAACCCCTGTGTACCAAATTTAGTGATTCTCGTACAACAGGGTTCTGAGATATAAAAAACAATATTACTCTTAGGGGCGGACTTCAGAGGGCTGTAACTCCGAAAGAGGGGGGCCACTTGGCAAAAATAAAAAATACCCTAAATTTGTCTTAAGAATCTGTGACCAAATTTTGTTGCATAAATTTCGGGACACCCTGTATATTACCTTGGTGTAAGTTAAAACTAAGAAGGCTTTAATATTATTTTAATTAAATTAAACAAAAAAACATATTTACACTTTGTTTACATCTGAAATTATTTCTAGTTATATTCTCTAACTGGTCTAGATCTACTTAGAATAATTTTTTTTTAAAGAAAACTAAATATAGTTTACAAAAATGAACTTAAGTGATGTGTTCCGCATTCTACTAGTTTATTTTATTTTGCACTAGTACAAGATTTGTGGGTTAGGTACAAATAAATTTTACATGTGTTCTTTCAGTTCTATAATTAATGTTAGATTTTTCATATATTTCATAACTATATTTATTATATTGTTCATAACTGTTATTAAATATTAACAGAAATGGAAGAATAAAATTTGAAGAATTGTATACACAATGTTAGGTTTGAAATTGATTATTTTATATACTAATGAGAATTACATAATAAAGTAGTCAATTAGATGGGTCTTTAAATTGCAATTTTGGTCAACTTGCCTGAATTTTTTATGTAAGTTAGTTTGAGGTAGACTTGTATGTAATAACAATAACAATAAGTGACAGTAATTTTTTTCAACCCCGGCCAGAGGTGAAAAAAAATAATGTATATTTCAAGATAATCAAAAGGGTTAAGACCTAGAAAAACTAATTTCATATAAAAGTTATAGAGCATAAACTTTACATAAAAATAATCTATTGACTTTTTCTTCTACTATTAAAATTAACAGAGTTAGGGAGGCTAGAACTTAATGGATCATATGAGAAACTTTAAAACTGCATACCAAACAGAAAATTGAATGAATTTAAAAAGTCTACTCTAAAAAATATAAATTTTCTTTTCAAATAAATTTGTACCCGTCTGAAAATCAAAAATTCCGGTAAGTTGACCAAAACTGTGATTTAAAGGCCCATTTAATTCGACTAATAGCTGTAGCAACCACAGTGAAATTTCATACATAAAAAAAGCATAACAGTGTTCTAAAAATTTCAAATATTTAAATTTATGTTTTTAGGTAACAAAATCTACCTGCAATTTTTACAAAAAGTAATCCAAATCAATTGGATTCAATTAATAATAAAAGAATATGTCTAATTCCCTTAATATTATCCTGTAATCGCAAACGTTTGCAGAAGTCAAATATAACTTTCCTTCATTGTAATTACCTCTTTAATTGAAATGCATATAGCTGAAAGCTTTTATGTAGATTGGTGTAGAAATACATTTTTATGTTGTTAGATTTTAATGCTAAGCACTATTTTTGTAACATTTTAAATTTTGAAAAGCTTCGCAGTAAGGATTCGGAAATTTTCCGTATGGTGAGTTACAGAAAATTACACACGCTTTTTGAAATAGAGCTTATACATTCATATGAATAATCCATCGATGTATCAATGTAAAGTAATAGTTGAAATATCTGTATTGCAGTAATTTAATGTTCACTAATTAGTCTATTGTGAATGGTAATTAAATTTAATTGAATACTAGTTTTAAATTATTGCAATTTGTTGTTTTATTTAAGTAAGGATTTATTGTTAATAAAGCACGCATATACCAATGTGGATTTAGCAATAATATAATAAGCAAGTTGTTCCAGGAGTTTTTTTGTTAAAATATTACAAAATATTGTGTCTTCCGAAAGTATACTTTGTGCCTGGTGTATCATTGAAGAAAGAGTACTTTGAAGTATTCTTTTTTCTTACAATTTACTTTATGATCAAGGTATTTCTTTGGGACAAGATGTATGCATACATATTTAAAAACTTCATCAAAATATGCAATGAAATGTTATTGAACATTGATTTGAAAAGCTGTAGTTAAAATAATACCCGTATTTATTTTTGAAAAAACCCTTATTCAAATACTTTATTCAATAATAGATAAATCTTTTAACATAACTTAAGGAATAATAAATATAATTTTGTAAGATTATGAAAAGAGTTGTGCAGTAATTAGATATAACCTTTCTGATAATTCTAATATCTGATAACCAATTTCACGGCATACTAGAATGGCTGAAGATCCTTTCTATCATACTTTGTGGTCTTCGTTAATATATTTTAATCAAGAGTTCCATTCTGCAACAAAAATTGTTCAACAACATTTTCATAAGAGCGTTTTTGGAAACTATATGTGTCTAATGTTTTGACAGCCTCCAAAGTTGTAACACACTTAGTCCATCTGTCCTCAAACTTGTGAATACCCCTTGCAAAAAAACCTTTTGATGTAGGTTTTAATCAACTTTTCGCTTTCTCTTTCTTTCAAACTCTAAACGTGTCTTGGGTAGGTATATTATTGCTAACCAGAATGTAAGAAATAATTATTGAAATAGAAGAGCTCAGCAACCAAGAAAACATTCAACATTCTTTGTTGGAAGAGTTACATTAATCATCTTTTAGGACACGAGAGTTCTTTTATTGATAAAATTAGAAAAAAAAACGTATAGGTTACTGAATGCGCTGTCAGAAGTTCACTCAAAAACAGTAGCTTCTCAATATACTCATATGGCATAAGTTGGTTAAATTTTCACTAGAAAGTTTCTTTGTAAAGAGCATTCATAAGCTTAGAAGCAGGTAGACCAAGTATGTCATGAAGTAGGAGGACTATACAAAAAATAAGACGATCAATTTCTATAAGCACTCTTGCAATAGTATTATTCAATAATTCCGGTTATTTACTGACTTGCCTTCGTAAATTCACATTTTAAAACAAAAGAATATAATGTTTGACAAAGTTTATGGATTCATTGCGGTAAAAGTGCCTTTAAAATATTCCTTTCCAACAATTTATTTACCAATATTGACCCTCGTTGAACATATTTTGGGCAATAGTTTTCAAAACTGCCGTTGTACTACTCAATCAAAATTTTCTTTTCATATATTTGTTTTGTCTTCGATAACAGAAAATGAAGTCCACTGAATTTAAAACTGACGTTACTGATATTGAGAAGAGAGAGTTATTGACAAAAATATCAGATTTTATCCATTTGTTTTTTTTTTCAAAATCTCCAGATAATACGTCTGAAAATCCAAATAGTAAACACAAAAGTAAAATACAAATAGAAAACTTAAATACTGAGAGTGGTACTTCAAAAGATCCAATCTTTTTACCTCAAGCATCTCCCACTATAACAGTGCGGTTGATAATGATAATGTCTTGTAGGATGAAGTAACTGGTGAAATATTTTCCTTAACTACTTAACCGAAATTAAATCCCGACAATGGTTTTCTGTTATCGAAAGAAGACATTTATATAACATGGAAGACAAAAGTAATACTACAACAGATGTTTTGAAAACCACCTCACAAATCTACTTCTAACATTCTTGTGAAGAGTAGAGTAGGAGTTTGATACATAGCTAGCGAACGGTTGTACTTCAAAGATAATTGCAGCAGCATTCAGCAATTACATATTTAACACTTTTACTGTGATAAGTTCGCGTTAATTGTCAAACCTCGTAACATAATTCAAGTCTCTTCAAGTTTTCAGAATAGTAGCGTGATTGCTTTTCAGTTATTAAATACCATATAGAATCAAAGAAAAACATAACTCTTGTCGTACTATCAGTGTCGTAATATTGTACCATCAGTATCAAACTACTTTTCTATTAACTTAAAGGGAACTTGTGGCCACCGCTAGATTTAAGTATTTCTGTAATAATTACTGACGAGCTGTTTCCGTTAGATCGAAGAAAATCGAAGACAACTGGAATATCTGACACAATGGGGAAGCACCAGCAGTCTGGAGAGCGCCGGTACGACTTCCTCAAAAGAAAAATGGAAGCAGGGAGCCAGGAAGACGCTCCTCCAATGGGTTTCCAACGCCCTTCCTAGCGACTCAGGAATAGAAATCAAAGACTTCGGCTCCAGCTGGAGGGATGGCGTAGCCTTCCTCGCCATTATTGATGCCATAAAGAAGAACTTGGTCAACATCGCCGAGATGAAGAAGGCTTCCAACAGGGCTCGCCTGGAAACCGCCTTCGATGTAGCCGAAACAGAACTAGGAATCACGAGACTTCTAGACCCCGAAGACGTAGACGTACCCAAACCTGACGAAAAATCGATTATGACTTACGTGGCCCAGTTCCTCCACAAGTATCCAGAACCGAGAAGCACCGGTCCTGATGCCATCGCAGCCATCCAGGAACAGTACAGCGAATTACTCTCTTGGCTGATGAAGAAGACTCAATACTTGGAACACTTGCAACAGACAAACTCTTTACCTCTGAATTACAATGAGTACTTGGCTTTCAAATCCGAAGTGGATGACAAGGAAGCCTTATTTGATAAACTTAAGCGCCTTATAGAATCTCAAAGTGTCATTTCCATAGCTAAGGAAAGTTGGTTTGATATTAACAAATTATGGAAAAAGCTGCAGCAACAGCTATTGTACTGGCTTTGGCTCTTGGACTCTCGCTTACCGGGGGATTTTAAGTTCGTGGGAGAATGGTTAGCCAGAGCTGAGAAACTTATATATTGCGACGAGATTCCCACGACAATGAACGAAGAAACCGCTGCTATTATCAGCAGGAAACTAGAAGAACACAAAGCGTTCTTCGTCGACTTACCCACAGTGCAACAGAGGTTTGCGCAAGCTTGTCAGAGTCCTTTAGCCAGAGAAGTGCCTTCCGAACAGTTAAATAATATGGCTGTTAGACTGAATGATATTGGACCTAAAGCTACCCAACGAAGAGTTCGACTGAAGTTCCTTGAACATAAGGTAAGATATGATGATTCATTTGATTTTTATATTTTATTGTTTGAACTTGATGTCATAATTCTGCTCAATATTTTTCTGCCCTGATGACCAAATGTTTTTCTCATTCTATCTGCATAGTATATGTGTTGAAGTGACATTCAAAGTAGGTCGCATATATACAGGGTGGTCCATTAACAGTACGGAGTGGCTGTACATAGGAAACTAGACTTGCTACGATTATGGGGTAAAAAATCTATTAACAAATACGCCCAAAAGAAATTGATTTGAAATATTTTCTAATTTGTAACTTAACCGGTAGAGGTCGTAATTGCTATAGTATTATAGAAAATTGTCGTTTTTTTGAAATTTGAAAGTTGAAAATACACTTTTTATATAGGTACACTGTTAAACACTTTTTTTCAATTTTTTTGTTATTACCGATTCAAACAACGTCAGTATGAAGGGCGCCATCTTGAAATTTTGAAATTGTCATAACATCTAAATGCCTTAATCGATTTCAATAAATGATTACTCATTTTAATGAACTGTTAATAAAATTTATATTTATGATGTGGGAATAGAAAGATTATTTTCCTGTTTTGTATTGTCTCCATTTAATAAAAAAAATTAAATGCAACTGTATAGTTTTTTTTTCATGGCTTCATAGACAGTTCATTAAGGAAAACAAATCCATGAACCGGAGGCGATATCTTTTTTCGTTTTCAAGCTATTTCTAAAATAGTTAAGTCGTGCTAGAGCATTCTCTTTTATTTAGTTCTCTAAATAACATTGACATAGTCTAAGCCAAAATTAAATTGTAAAACTATACCAAACCTGTCCTTAAAAAATACTTGCTTTATTTTAAAATTTTTTAATATGTAGGTACAATTTTTCTTATTCAACACAAGTACTTTTCTCACACAAATGACACTAATTTTGCACGAAGCAAGAGCTGTCGCATATCCTTTGAGATAATCTTTCATTCGTCTATTTTCATAGGTCTGCCTCGTTATGGAAACAATAATCTTTATAAATATTCAAATATTTGAAATTAATAAAAAAAATGAAACATTGTAGTTATCAAAAAAATTTCAGAGCTTTTGATAGTTTTACAATTTAATTTTGGTTTGGACTATGCCAATGTTATTTAGAGAACTAAATAAAGGAGGATGTTCTAACACTACTTCACTATGTTAGCAATAACTTGAAAACGAAAAAAGATATTGACCTCCGGTTTGTGTATTTGTTTTCCTTATTAATAGTTCTTTAAAATGAGCTGTCGTTTCTTTAAATGGATTAAGGCATTTTGGAGTTATGACAATTTAAAAATTTCAAGATGGCGTCCTTTATACTGGCGTTACTATGGTAACAAAAAAAAACAAAACTTATGGAGGGTTTAGCAGTGTATCTATAAAGTCAACTTAGGTTATGTAAGCGAAATTTCGAAAAACCGACAATTTTCTGTTACACTATAACAGTTGCGTCCTCTAGCGGTAAAGTTACAAACTTGAAAATATTTTAAATCAATTTCTTTTGGCCGTATTTGTTAATAGATTTTTACCTTGTAATCGTAGCACATCTAGATTCCCATATACAGACGCTCCGTACCGTTTATGGATCACCCTGTATATCTATATTTTTTTACTTAGCACATTATACCACGAAATACCTACAAGTGTATATCTTCAGAAGCGATGTTGATCACGTTATCTAATGATGCATTCATATAATAATATGAAAAAACCTCCTAATCATTTAATAAAATGATTAGGAGCCGCGAAATAACATTCATCACATAAAATGTAGGGCAAATCCAATTTTTTAAGTATCATGTCTTCACAGAAAACCTGTTTTTAGAAGAATCTTCTTACATCAAATATTTATTATTCTTGTTGTAAATGACAATTCATGACATATAAAACTTAAACATTTAATTTTTAATAGTAAAAAAAACATTACGATGCTTCTCTAGTTGCAGGAAAGATGCTTGATTTAAAAATTGTGTAGTAACCAAAAATCATGTAAGTTTAAATGGAAAATGATAATAAATGCATTTTTTACAATTTCGGAAACCGATTCTAATTTTTTTCAACTTTCCACAATTGCCAGAGAAATTTTAAAACTAAATAGCTCCGATGAAACGATCTTACAACGATGGCACCGAAATCAATTATTTCATCTCCTTCTTGTCATCTTCTATCCTACGATAAATAATTTTTAATTTCGTAATTTCTTCAGAATTTACGTCTTAAATAGTAAAACTAATCACTACTCCATTCACTGACTACGATATGACTTTCTTGTGTACTTTATAGGCATATTTAAGACAATTAAAATATTTTAAGTCCAATATGCGGAGCATCTTGGTCTGTAGTAAGGGGAACATCTTGATTCTATGGTATAGGCACCTCCTATACTGTATAATTTTAAGAAATATTTAAGTTAATGAAAAGTACACCAAAATTTAACATAACATTCTTTGAAATTTGACAGACATTTGATTTAAAAATTCCAGTATCTTTAAAATTTCATAGTGTTCATAATTTTTCAGTTTAATTATTAACACACAAAATATATATACAGGATGTTTCAAAAATATACTGCATCATCTTAGAAACGTATTCCTCTCAATATAAGATGAAAAGTTTATATAAAATTTGGAATACAACTGTTTTACCTTCTCCAGTGGCGTAGAAATAGGGGCATTTACTGCTACTTAAATGCCGAACTAATTCAGAGAAACATAAAAAACGTCACTAGTCCGAGAAATTTAAATTGTTAAAATAGAATTTGCAGCTGTAAATAAATCAAGTAACGTATCAAGCCAATAATGCACATTTATATAAATTTAATTAAAGATAATTCATTTCAGTAATTAATTCAATCATGCTGTCCGTCATGTTTTCGAGAGAAATTCGCTCCTAAGAAGATACGTCGCAATTCTGAAGTAGGGACCTAGTCGAGGAAGTAAAGCACAAAAAGAGCCGAAAATTCTGAAATTTTTCGATCAACTCGTATCAAGATGAGGTTTTTTGCATTCGCTTTCTAAAATTATGTGGAAAAAATGTATAAACTTTTTATTATGTTTTTCGGCCAAATTGCATTTGTGCAGTGCAAAATGCATCCGGAAAAATGCATTTTTTAAAGTCGCTTAGAAAAAATTCATAACTCGGTTAATAATGCCTAGAATGGACTCAAATCAGGGTCCAGGAGGTTTTCGAGGTCGTTGATCCCGAATATGACCTTCAAATTGATCCATCGCCGACCTGGAGCTTAGGATTGATAATGAACGTCATCTCCTAGGCTTCTCCTGAATTTCACTCTTAAATGAACGAAACTAAACACCCGGTGGTTTTTCGGGTCGCTGATTCCTAATCTGGCGTCGGCAAGCACCCCCCCGGACACCTGGTGCACCGGAACCTGGACATGGACGTCATCTCCGGGAGTTTTCCTCTAAAATTCGCGTAAACGAACGGAAAATCGCATCAGGGGATTTTTCGAGGCGCTCTTCTCGAAATCATCTTATAATATGACGCATGCACGCCTGTGGGCCTCCAAATCGGGGCCCTCGAAAAACTATCCGGGCCCTATACGTCAGTTGATGATGAAAATGATATTTAGTAGAATATTTTCAAATTAAAATTAATAGTTGATTAGATTAGGAACTAAAATGGAATTACATTATATTTGAGTTAAATTAAATTGAAGTTAAGAGTAGGTTAGAAATGGCAATTGATTTGGAAATAAATGATTTTGATTTGTTTTTGAAACAACACTTGCATACATTGTGACATTTCATTTAATTTATTCCCTCTATTTTCATCGTGCATACTTTAGATGAGATCAACAATTCCAAACAAGTTATTGCAGTATTAACGGCAGTCTCAAATATATTGAAAATTCACTGTTTATTGATTTTTCTGGCGATGACGCTGATTTCAAGGTTCAGGTTCCGGTGCACCAGGTATCCGGGGGGTGGTCACCGACGCCAGATTCGAGAAGAGTGCTCGTTTACGCGAACTTTACAGGAAAACTCCCGGAGATGACGTCCATGTCCACCAGGTTCCGGTGCACCAGGTGTCCGGGGGGTGCTCGCCGACGCCAGATTAGGAATCAGCGACCCGAAAACCCCCGGGTGTCAAGTCTCGTTGCATTTAAGAGTGAAATTTAGGAGAAGCCTCGGAGATGACGTTCATCATCAATCCTAAGCTCCAGGTCAGCGATGGATCAATTTGAAGGTCATATTCGGGATCAACGACCTCGAAAACCCCCAGGACTGATTTGAGTCCATTCCAGGCATTATTAACCGAGTTATGAAGTGACTTAAAAAACGCATTTTTCTGGATGCATTTTGCACTGCACAAATGCAATTTGGCCGAAAAACATAATACAAGTTAATATATTTTTTTCACATAATTTTAGAAACCGAATACAAAAAAAAACCCATCTTGATGCGACTTGATCGAAAAATTTCGGAGGTTCAGTGCTTTATTTCCTCGACTAACCCTATATACATCAGGGACATCTGTAACAAGACGTACATACATCGACACAAATAGGTTTGCGTTTCTGAATCAGACAGAGCTGCACGAGGTAGACAGAGAACGCATTTGGGTAGAAGAAATAAGACATAGGCGCGGCGATTTCGGATAATGGTTATCTGAGCCGTTATCCTTGCCGCACAGCAGCTATCTCAGACGCAAACTTATTTGTGTCGGTCTGTTACTGTTTGCTGCGATACTTTGTACCAAAGTTATAGCGACGAGGCATTTTATTAGAGAGAGTATCTATCCCGAGCTTACATCAATTACTACATATTTTACAATACAAAAATTAGAAGAATATTTACTTGTACATTTCAGTGCTGCCTTATTGCATTTTTGCAACTTACCGAGACCAAACTGAAAGCCTGGACCGCCAAGTATGGCAGGGCAGAAAAAGTAATACAACTGCTAGACCAGTACCGCAATTTTGTATCTAAGAACCACATATTCCAAGAATTCAATAAAGCCTTTATTGATATGCAGGCTGTCATCGAAGAATACAGAAGAGACGGAAATGTTGGTAAGTAAAATGAAGCGTTGAAATTAAAAATTCTAAATATCGAATCTTGGTTTCTTTCATGTACACCCAATGCTTGAATTCAAAGAGTACTTATAATTTGTTTATAAATTGTTTAGATTTTTTGAACATTTTCGTTTCAGACAAGAAAGAATTATCCGAAATAGATGGATTTATGCGAGACATAGCAGGCCGTTGGAAAAACGTCTCTATGGAACTGAGATGCGTACAAAGTATGCTCGAGGAAGTCGTAGCCTACTGGAGACGTTGGGATTCATTATCTACAGAATTTGAAAATTGGTTGGATAAAGCCGAGAAAGCGCTCGATTTCCAAGAAGAAGAAAAGATGGAATTTTTCCAAGATATCAGCGTTTGGAGAGACAATTATCAACTTCTTGGAGATACTGTTAGCTTCCTCATAGCCACATGTGAAGATCAAATAGCTCTGGAACTTCGTGACCGCTACCAGGCAATAACCGACAGATGGGACAAGATCTATCCACAAGTAAATAAGTACAGCCACGCTGGTGATATTTTGAGGAACCGCAAAGATTTCAGAGCGGGAGTAGAAGTGTTATCCAATTGGTTGAGAAAAGCAGAGGATGTTTTGAACTCGCCAAGTTTAGGATCCATGGATAGAATTAGACAACACACAAAGAATCTTATGGGTCTCCAGGGTGAAGTTGAAGAGATTGAAAATCTTTTTAAGAACATAAGTAAGGCTTTTCAAACATTAATTCAAGATCTATCGAGGGAAGAAGTTGAGAAGATGATGACCGTCCTTAAACACGAGAAAGAAGCATTAGTTAAAGTCCGGGCGTTAATTCCATCCCAAATTCATTTATTCAACCAACTCCTGATTCAACAAGAATCATTAGAAGCTGGTCAGCGCGAGATTAACAGTTGGTTAGACAATGCAGAGGGCCTTCTTAGTAGTTTAACTTTAGAAGGGGACAAAGAACAACTTAAAGAACAAATAGATAAAGTGAAACAGTTCTTTACTAGAACGCTTTATTACCGGTCGATGTTGGATAGTAAAAATAAGGTGATGAACAATATCGTCAAATCTGTAGATCAAGCTAGTAATCCCGATGTTGCCAATATGACTGCCAAGATGGAACAACTAAACGATAGATTCGACTACGTAACACAGAATTCCCAACTATGGGAACAAAGACTGCAAGAAGCCATGCGTTGCTGGTACAACTTCTCGGAGTGCCAAAGAGTAATTTCAAACTGGCTGAATCAAGCTGAAAAATTAACGCAGGAGAAACGAATAGATAACAAAGAGACTGTTGAAGAACATAAAAATTTCTTCCAATCCGTCAACGAAAGATGGATCCATGATTTGGTACAAAGCGCCCAAGATCTATGTAATTGCCTCCCAAAAGATCAACATGCTCCCATTTTAGCATCCGTTAATCAACTACAAAACAAATGGAAAGAAATATTGTCATTCGCACCGTTACATTTGATGAGGCTAGAGTTCAGATTAGACGAAACTACTTTCAATTATTACATTAAAGATATAGAGAAGGAGATTAATAACGAACATTTGGCTTACAGTAAACAGGAAAATGTCGAATCTATAATTTCAAGAAACAAAGAATACTTTTCCTCTAAGGGTCCTTTAGTTGAAACTCGACACTGCTTAGAAAGTTTGATGAAATTATCGACTGCGTATAGTACACATTATCCGAAAGATAAGAGCTTGGAGGAATCAGTGGAAAAAGCCCAACAGCAGTGGAAGGATGTGAATATTAAAATAGAAAATCTGAAACAACATCTGGATCAAATACCTGAGAAGTGGCAAAATTATCATGACAAATTCAATGAAATGAGTAAGTGGATGGATGGTGTAGATAACGCATTGAAGAATATCCTAAACGATGTTAACACCATGGAAGAATTCGAAAGGGAGAAGGCCATATTCCAGGTAAGTCATATTTTTTAATAATTACACAGTATTACATGAGGTTATTATATATTGTGATTTTAATTCTGCTCGCTGGTGCTCCAGTTGAAAAGGCTTATGGTAATAATTTATTCTATTCCAAAACTTGTAGTAGATTTGTAGAATTAATTATATGTTAGCCAAGAGTAGCTTAGATTTTTTAACTACGAGTTTATATATTTTTTGCATGTTCTAGCTCATATAAATATATTACTGTTTAAAGTTTTAAATTGTGGTTCTATTATCCAGAACATTTGCAAAGAAGCGGATTCTAAACGAGAAGACATGAAGTGGTTGGTCCAAACTTTAGACTCTTTAACTTCCCATTGTCCAGAAAATCAAGCCATTCTAGAACAAAAGAATCTAGAGGCTCTCATTATACGTTATAAAAATTTAATACCTTCTTTAGAAATAACTATGGTCAAGACCGATACATTATCCAATTGTTATACCTACCGAAGAGAAGTAAGAGAAGTGTGCCAATTACTCAAACATGTCCGCGAACAATCTAAACGTGGAAGCAGACCTAAATCTTTGGAAAAAGTACCAGAGATGATTCGCCACCAAGAAGTTGCCATTTCGCAGTTAGATCAACAAAGATCAAATATTATGTCGCTGCTACAGAAAGGTAAAGAACTGAGTAAAGATGTCAATGCTCCAAGTTTTATGCCACAAGAAGTTAAAACGCTAGAAACTGGATGGACTGATACTTACGATACAACAGTAGACACTTTACATAAATTGATAGGAACACACCATGTATACACAAGTTACACTGAGCAAAAGCAAGAAATCCTCAAGGTTGTACAACAAGCTGAACATGAGTTGCAACGAGTACAACCATCAAGAGGCGTTGCTTCGGATCTCATAATTAAACAAGAACTAGTAACAAACTTACGCCAAGCAACAGAAGATACGTTAAACAAACTTAGAGAACAGTGTGCTCAGTTATCTAAACAAGCTCCAGAACAACAAAAGGAACTAGAAAACGAAGTACAACAAATCGAACATCGTCTTAATACTACTTTAACAAACGTCACCGAACGAGTTGTTATGATGCAACAATACAGCCAGAAATGGACTACTTTCCAGACTAGACTCAGTCAATTACAAAAGTGGACTGTCCAAGAAGCTCCGCAATTATTGTCCTCTGTAGAGGAAGACGCAAATTCGCCTGAGGATAAGGTGCAAAAGGCTGAGATATTACAAAAAGAAGTTGTTCACAAAATAAAACTGCTGGATGAGTTAGGCAACGAAGCTTCTCAACTTTTGACGGAAGACACTCCTGAAGCCAAAAAACTTCAAGCCGAAATGGTAGCTCTTCAAGATCATGTTGTAGCATTAAACAAATCAGTGGAAGGCCAAACTGCAATCATTACCAAAGACATGAAAAATTGGAAAACATATCAATCAAGCATACAAGAAATCAAACCCTGGATTGAGAAGGCAGAACTTAAAGTTCAGACCGGACTACCAAAGCCTGCAACCCTCGAAGAAGCCGTACAACTTCAAAATCAAACCAAACAGTTCGGAAAAGAAATTGATCAACAACTGCAAAAACTCCAAGGTGTGGCAAGTTTAACGCAAAAGATATCTATGAAAACTAATGCGCCAGATGAAGTCGATGCCATTCAAACAAGATGGACAACTGTGCATGATACGACGGCTCAATGGGGGCAAAAATTAGACAAATTAGTAGCTAACTGGTTAGAATTTGATAAAAATGCTCAGCATCTAGAGAACTGGATAATTAAGAGTGAAGAAGCGTTAACCGCTCATCCAATTAATATTAACACGCCCAATGTAGATAAACTCGAGAAAGAATTAGCAAAACTGAAGACATTTAACAACGAGATTTCCGAGCAGCAAGCAAAATTAATATCATTAACTCAAAGTTCCGATAGTATTAGTTACAGTGTAGCTCCCCAAGGAGCCAACTTAGTAAAAGAACAGGTGCAAACTTTAAAATCCAAAGTGTCACAACTTGCTGAAAGTGTGCGAGCGAAAATCAATGAAGTGTCTGATGCTATTCTGGCTAAACACGATTTCCAAACTAAGGTTGCCGAATATTCCAATTGGCTGGAAACAATGAAAGCAAACGTAGCACAAATAGATGAGGTACCCGCAGACAAAGTGGAAGCCGCCTTATTGAATATTCACAACTTATTGCAAGAACATTCTGAAAGACAGCCCATATTCAATACAATTTATAAAGAAATTAAAGATATATCTCTCCAGTCACCTCAAAAGGAATTAGAGCCTTTAACACAAGAATACACGACAATAGTGAAGAACAACCAAGAAGTCGAACATACTTTGCAAGAGAAGAGAAGTCAACTGCAGAAATGGAGTGAACTTTTGAACTGGCATGTTGACACTGCAAACCAGTTATCGCATATTAAATATCAAGCCGATAGTGGAAAGATTTCTCCCGAAACGTTGCAAAAACTTATATCTGAGACGAATACTGTCATAGACAAAGTCATTACTTGGAAGCAAGCAGCACCTGCAATTGATAAAAGTCAGAACATTATTATATTAGATAAACAAACAGGATTGCCCAGAACTGCAGATAATATCGTCAGAGAGATTGAAGTTAGTGCTATCAATATAAAATCACAATTAGCTGATAAGTTAGATGGATTGCAGAAGTTAAAAGCCCACTGGAATCAATTCAATACGTTAAAACAAACGGTTGTTTCGCATTTGGACAAGACAAAAGACGCTTTACAGGCAATAAAAAAAGAGGTAAATCACTCAAGCGACTTGCCTAAAGCGGTCGAAAACTTAAATAAACTCTTGGAAGATCAACTCGGAAAAAGTTCAGCGAAGGAAGAGCTCCGTAAAGAAGCATTACAACTCATGAAAGAAGATGTGCAAAATATTTCCGTTATACAAAACTCCATATCTGTGATAGAAAGCAATTGGAACAAGGTTAACGAAGAAATAAAAGACGAAAACTTGAAATTGTCCGACATTATATTTGCGTGGAATGAATTCCAAGCTGCAAAAGATAACGTAGTAAAAGATATTGGAAAAATTGATAAAACAATCGAAAACCTTGAAGTACCAAACGATGTAATTCAAGCTAATGTTAACCTGGAGAAAGCAAAGAAAGCGCTTGATGCGATAAAAAAATCAAAGTCGGCATTAGAAAAAGCAGATAGTAAAGGTCAAACTATCATTAAAAAAGCAGAGAACATTCCAGGCATCGAGTCGGAGGTAAAAAGAGACATGCAAATAGTAAACGATGTTTGGTCCAAGATTTATGAAAAAATTGTAAAGGTTGTTCAGAAAACCGAATCCCAAGCAACCATCTGGAAACATATTGAGGATACGAAATGCACTTTGCTTCAGTGGATTAGCGATCAGAACAAAGCATTACTTGCAGCAGCTGAGAAACCTAATGAATTAGAAGCAGCTGCATCAAAATTAGCTAAATACAGAGAAGAACTACCTGCGCATCAAAGACTTAATCAAAGCATACCTCACAAATATGCTCAGCTAGTAAAACTTACTGATGGAAGAGAAATACCAACTATTCAAACATTAGTACAACTTCTTAATGATCAATTTGAAGAATTAGAATCCAACGCTCAAAGATTGCAATCTATCACTAGTACATTCGGGGAAAACGAAAAAAGTATTCGTGACGATATCAAAAATATAAGCAATAAAGTGTCAACTATTAGAGAAGAAATCATTAAATGCGAAGATCTATCAGGAGATAACGCGAAAATCGTAGAAAGACTGATAAACGTACGTCAGCTGAAACAAGAGTTACAACAATGTGACAGCGGCATAAAGAAGATAGATCAAGACATACAACAAATGAAACAAACATATCCCAGTTTTGGAGAAAGTACTGTCCCTAAAGAACAACAACTTCTAAAGAAACGTTTTGATGCGATCCTTACTCACGGAAATAAAATTGAAAATTCCTTGCTATCTTTCCTTAAGAAGTTCCACAATGAAAAATATGGAGCTTTGCAAAGAATTATTGCTACGCATCGAGAAAAAATTCAGTGGTGTTTGCCAGAACCAGCCAGCGACAAATATAATTTGCAAGTAAAATTAAATGCTTTAGAACCTGTTCAGGCAGCTTTAGCAGACTGTGAAACACGCAAAGTAGAATTAGAGAATTCTATCCAACTATTACAACAAACAGAAACACCAGAATCAATAAAACTATTAAACGCAGAAAAGGACCATTTACTACTAGATCTTGATAACTTGAAGCAAGAATATGAAACAACCAAAAACCTTCTTGAAAATGATATTTTACTCCACGAAAAATATGAACAAATATCAGAAACTGTGGCCAACTGGCTGAAAAATATGGAAAATAGAGTTAAAACTGAGAGCACATTGCAAATGGATTTGGACAATATCGACAAGAAAAATAAGGAAATATCGAAGCTTCTTACGGAAGTAAAAGATTTCGAGAAAGAAATTAAAAAATTAACACCTATTAGTGAACAACTAGTTAAGGAAATGCCAGAATCTAGAGTTACTCAATATGTACAACATTTAAATACGAGATATACGGCAATCAATAAATTCCTGACGCATTATATAGAAAAGCTGGATGAACTGAATAAATATAAAGAACTATACAGAAACAGTATCAAAGATGTGGAAGATTGGTTAGTCCAAGCTGAGGAAAAAGTAAAATCGTTTTCACAAATCGCTAAAAAACCAAATCAAGCGACCTTAGAAGAACTGAAAAAATTCGCTAGTGAAAAAGAGAGAGGTCAAGCATTATTAGCAAAGGCGGTAGAACATGGAGAGGCGTTGTTCTCTGGTATTACTCCTGAAAACAGAGACGCTATACGGGCTGAATTAAGGAACTTAAGAGATAAATCAGAAGTACTCATAGACAAGGTCAATTCCATATACAAACAAGTTGAAGCAACACTAATGCAACGCCACTCCTTTGATGATAGTCTTCACCAAGTCAAATTGTGGATTACTGATGCTGAGACGAAACTGGGTGATGAAATGAAGCTTGACGCTACCCTTTTGGATAAAAAACAAACGCTGCACAATTACAAAACCCTTTCTCAAGACGTTAACCTTCACAAAAATATATTGAAACAATTGCAAGATAAAATTGGAAACCTAAATGATGCTGACGCCGAGTCCAAACTTAATGAAAATCTTAACAATTATAACAAACTCGCTCAAGAAGTGAGCAGGAGAATCGAATTATGTGAAGAATATGTTGCAAATCACGAAGCGTTTAATCAAGCTATAGAAAAATGCCATGACTGGTTAAGTGCTTTAACAGCGGAAGCAGCTTTGCTTGTTGATGAATCTTCTTCTGAAACACCAGAAGCTAAGTTAACGATAGTTGAAAACCTTTTGTCCCAAAAAGATGAGGGAGATAAAATTATTGCCTCATGTAGAGAACAGTTAGAAGTTGTAGTAACCCAAACAGCTCCTAGTGGTCATCCGTCATTGATTAATAGTTTTGACGAACAAGAAAAATCTTGGAGACTTTTCTTAGAACTTTGCTCTGATGCACAAGAAAAACTAAACGAGATTAACAATCAATATGCAGAAGTTGGTAAGATTTTGGATAGTCTAGAAGCATGGCTCAAGGCAAAGGAAAGTCAAGTTAAAGACCAGAGTTTAAGGAATACCGAAGATGCGAAACGGTCTCATTTGGAAAAGCTCAAATCACTGGAAAAAGAAATACTAACCAAAGAAGCAGAATTTAATAACTTTACAGAAATGATTAAAAATATAGAAACAGATGCTAAAGTCTCACAGTTATCTACGAGATACCAATCCCTCAAAAACGCAGTTAGGGAAAATGTTAACAGATATGAAGGATTTGTCAAAGAACATCATGAATTTAACCAAGAATACAATGAATTCTTACATTGGTTGTCAGATAAAGAGGAGGAACTGCAAAATTTATGTCATATTGTTGGAGACCTAAATGTTCTTCAAAATAGACAGCAAGAAATAAAAGATCTCATAGATGAACGAAACCAAAGAAGTGTTCAATTTGAAAACTTAATAGAAAAGGGAGAGAAGTTGTACGCTCACACTTCACCCGATGGTCGAGAAATTATAAGACAACAATTGAGGAATTTGAGGACAATTTGGGATACATTTGCAGATGATTTACAAAACTCGACAAATAAACTAGACCAATGTCTAACTCAATTTTCAGATTTCACAGCTACACAAGAACAACTGACAAAATGGCTCCGAGATGTAGAGAAAGCCATGCATCAGCACACTGAACTAAAATCAACATTGCAGGAAAAGCGAGCTCAATTGCGAAATCACAAAATTATGCATCAAGAAATCATGTCCCATCAACAGTTAGTGGAGACCGTATGCGATAAAGCTCAGCAACTAGTAGACCAAACACAAGATAAATCTCTAAATGTTTACTTACAGTCAATAAAACAACTATTCCTTAGTATCGTAAGTAAATCAGAAGAATTATTGAAAAACTTAGAGGACTGTGTAGATAAACACAGTAATTATAACCAACAAGTGGCATCATTTAAAGACTGGATTAATGAACAAAATGAGAAACTTCAAGAATACGACAACGTCAGCGGTGAGAAAGCAGACATTTCTAAGCGAATAGCAAGCATAAACTTACTCAAGAATAACAACAGAGAAGAAGGTACAAAATTACTTGCAAATATGAAAGAAAAGGTAATAGCAGTTGCTAAAAGCACAGCACCAAAAGGTGTCGAAGTATTAAAGAAAGAACTAGAAGAAATGCAAGAACTCTTAAATCAACATTTGAATGACGTGGATACAGCCCTGAACAAACAAAACAATGCGTTGAGACAATGGGAAGATTTTGAAAATACATTAGAGGATCTCACCCAATGGTTTAAGAATACCGAAGCTAAATTTAGGGACCAGCCACTACAAGCTACATTGTCCGAAAAAGAAAATCAACTTAAACTTTTCCAAAAACAACGAGAAGAAGTATCGGCTAAAGAAAAAGTAATCGATCACTTCATTGATAGGAGTCACACTCTTCTGCAATCCAGTGGTGCCCAAAGAATTAAACCGATTGCAACACAAATAAGTACCAAGTTCCAAAATCTGCACAGTTTGACCAAAGATGTCATAAATCGCTGGCAGGGAATTGTTGATGATCACGTTAAATATCAACAAAAACTTGAAGAAACATCGAGTTGGTTGGAACCTCTCGAGGAACATTTAGCCGTATTGCAAAAAGGTGATTTAGCAAACAATGTAGAGGCCACCACTAACCGACTGCAAGTACTTTTATCTGAAAGAGAACAAGGAGAACATAAGGTGAATTCTTTGACATTACTCGGTGAAAGGCTGTTACCAGACACTGCGACTCAAGGAAGGGAAATTGTTAGAAATGATATTAGAAACATCCGTGAAAGATGGGACAAACTTGTTGAAGGTAAGTGTACTTGTAAACGCAACGCCAGCTTATAACCCTCTACTGTTTACATAGGCATTAAAGAACAACAGAAGCTCCAAGATGCACAAAGCTTACAGTTGTCTAGTTACCAAGATATGTTGCAACAGGCTCTGGCTTGGTTAGATTCTATGGAAAAACAAGTCAAAGTGGAACCATCTTCATGGGTGTCCATGCAAGAAGTAAGAGGAAAGCTTTTGAAACACAAAACGACCTATCAGGAAATCTTAGCACATAAAAGGATTATTGAAGGTAGACTAGCATTTAAATTCTTATCGTATACATTATTTACAAATTTGTATTTATAGGAGTTACTGAGAAAGCTCAGACACTTGTCCAGCTAACAAACAACAAGGAAAAGACGGCTGAAGTTGAAGAAAGCGTCAAGTCCATTAACGACCGTTACCAAAATCTAGCGAAAGCGGCCCAAGGCAACATTAAACAGTTGGAAGATTGCTTGGAAGTCTACCAACAATTTTACGATTTATATAAAGCACAACAGGATAACCAGAAACAGCTTTGGGATAAACTTAACAGCTATGTAGATTATGGCGGCAACAAGCAAATACTTGAGCAGAGACTAAACAATATTAATGATATACAAGACCACTTACCTGAAAGTAATATCAAGCTCAAGGATCTGGAAAATCATGTAGCAAATAAAACCTCCACGTTGCCCGCCAGAGCACAAGAAGCAATGCAAAGAGACGTCGCCAACCTCAAGTTCGATCAGGAAAAATTCGTAGCCGCTTTGATGGACATTAAATCTGCGCTCGAAAACAGGTTGAAACAATGGAGAGATTACGAATCGACCCTTGAGAAACTCCTAACATGGTTGGCCGAAGCTGAATTGTCACTAAAGAATTACAGTTTGAAAGCAACAGTAGAAGAGAAACAAGAACAGTTAGAAAAATACCAGGTAAGTGTTGTATACTAGCCCGTTTTTGTTTAATGTTTTTTTAATTTTTTTGAATGAATTCTATAGGACCTAGCTAGAATGACAGAATCACGCAAAATAGACGTGAAGGATTTCATTACCATTACAGATCACTTGGAGCAAGTAAGATCAACATACACTGTAAATCTGTTGCACTATTTTTTTCCATAGTTTCTTCTGTTACGTTTTGCCTTTATCTCTTTAGTCTCTTAGGTGGTGGGCCTCTTTCTATATAGATGTTAGCTTTTCCTGTAAATGTATCCTGTCACTGATTTTCGATATACAATATGCACAATAATAATAATATTATCATTGTTATTATTTATAATAATAATAATGAGGGAGATAAAATTATTGCCTCATG